GTAAATCTATGTATAATTTTTAAATATAGTTTAAATAAAATTTTTATATAACATTAAATAAAATTAACTTCCTGATGCACTTGTTAAATAAAATTGTAAGAAGCTTGATAATATGAGGATGAGTATGTTTAAGCATTTCATTAGAGATTAGTGTTGGTCCTGTTGCTTTTTTGTTTGATGCTAAGTTGATTGTATTGATTATTTCCTGTTGGGTTATAGAGTCTAATAGTGTGTTGTACCATGAAGGAAGTATGTTAGTTTTGGGGTTGTATTTATCTTTTCATTGTTTCCAGAGAGTTGAATTATGTGGATTATGTTTGGTTCAGTTTGCAAAATAGTTTTTGATGTGTTGATGAATCTCTTTTGGCTCTGTAATTATTGAGTCCTGAAGTTTTATGTTATCAAATAATACTGAGTCAATGTGGTGGTTGATTATACTATTAATCATAGTTGTTGTATTTGAAATAAAATTGTTGTAGCATGTTTGAATATGTTGTTCAATTTGTTGTAAGATTGCCTATTTGTTTTCTAAGTTACGAGTATGATATAGTGATTGCAATAGTTTTTTATTATATTAATAGTAGCAGAAAGTTAGTTAGAGTTGATATTGATCATAGTGAGAGGTGTGATAGATAGGTTTGTTAACAGTTGTATAGTTTGTATTTTTTAATTAATGCTATTAATACTTGCAGTATTAGTTGAGTTATTGTTATCAGAAGTGTATTTAAGATTTATAAGGGTTTGGAGTATACTGTCACAGATGTTTAGTGCAGTATATGTTTTTGAAGCAGTAGATGAGAAGCTTTGAAATTGTTTTTGAAAATAGAAGGTAAAAAGTATATGTGTGTTTGCTGCAGTAAGCACTGTTGATTGGATTTGGTGCCAGAGTTGATTTATCGTAAGTGCAGAGGCTGCTACTTCAGTGAAAGAAAATGAAAGTTGATTACTTTTTTGCTAAAACTGTTCCCATAGTTCATTGGTCATAGAGTCATATTTAAACATTTTATATTTGTATTTTTTGTGTCATTTGGCTGATTTGATTTGTATTTGAAAATTAGTATGAATAATATAGTGATCACTGTCTGTAATTTCAGTTGGATTAATAATGCTGAAAGTTGTAAATGTATATAAGATTTGTTGTAGGACCCAGGTTTCATCAATTTGGCTAGAGAGGTTGTTGCATGTCCAGGTTGGAATATTAAGATAATAATTATATATTAAAAAAATAAAGTTGTATGATAGAAGGTATTTATATAAAGTAGAGCATGATGGTCTGTTGAGATCTTAGTTGAAATCTCTCATAATTAATAAAAAAATGTTGAGTTTTTGTACTTGTTTAATCCAAAGAATAATTTGGTTTTGTGTTTATTTGTTAACATCAGAATTATTTGGTAAATATGTAGATATAATTCAAAGTTTGTTTTTGTGTAGTAAGTAGAGATCAATTACAATAGCAGTACCATTAAGGGTTTGTATATTGTAGATGTATGTTGTAAGTAATTGGTTAATAAGAACTATTATTCCTGCACTTGATTCTTTAGAGTAATTTGGATTAGTAGTATTGTTGTTTGACATGAAGCATTTGTAATTATTATTTTGAAATGTAAGATGATTATATTGGGATTGTGCTAATTTGGTTTTTGTAAGTGATATAATATTGAACTATTGGCTAATGCAGTAGTCTAGCCATAGTTTTCTTTTGGTAATATTATTGTATCCTTGTATATTATATATTGCAATAGTTATGTGCTGTTGTGTGTTAAAATTGTTATGTTGGTTGAAGAGATGTGTTAACATATTATTAGGAGATGTCCATGGCCATCATGTTTATTGTAGGTGACTGATTTAGTAATATAGTGAAGAGTTGAATATTTCTCAGGTAGGTGTGAGCAATGGTAGTAGGTTGAGTAAACAGTTAGAAATTGTTTTAATAGTGTATATTTGTTTAAGATTTTGTATTGTTGGTATGATTTCTGCTTGTAAAGTTATTGGCAGTGTAAGTTGTATGTTGTTTAGCAATAATGCTGAGTTAATATCTTCAATGTTCTCTGGTATAAGTGGAAGTAGTTGTTTTGTTAGTTCAGTTATATTAGCATCAGTTTTGTCTGTTTGATTTGTATTCTGAGTAAGAGGATTTGCAATACTGATTCAAGATAATAGCAATTGTTTGAAGTAAAAATGCTGACAAAGTGTTTTTGCAATCTGAGTAAGTTGTTATGATTTTGTAATTGGTAGTATGATATTGAGCTTGGCAAGTTCTTGGCTATCAGTTGGTAAGGCTGATTTATTTGTAAGGTTTGCTTGCATTATATGGTCCAATAGTGGGAACTGGACATAGTAGTATTGAGAAATTTCATTAAGGAAAGTTTTTGCTATTGTGTCATCAGTTATAGGGTATATAAAATCTGACTCAGTGCGGATGAGCTCAATTTTTGTTGGCAAAAATAGTTTGGTAATAAATAGTTACTAGGAAGTAGTTTGAATATGTAATATTCTCTTAATTGTGCTACTGCTTCAGCTAATAGTACTTCAGATGTAGAGAAGTTGAAAGAAAAGAGACCTCTAACTTTGTAGCTCAGTTCCTGATAAGTGGTAGGTAATGGTTTTTTAGATGGTGAAAGCTGAAAATAGGAGTTTGAAATTGTAGTAAAAGTATAGTAATCTGCAAGTTTGTGCCAAAAATATGACAAGTATTGTAGTGATTGTCTGTTTGATATTGGAAAATAAGTTTGTAGTTCTGAATGAAGGTCTTGGTATCTTTCAGATAATATAGGAAGTTTTGCAAAATAGTTGTCTGGTAGTTTATCAAACTTGAAGATTTCCTTAATCTGTTAATAATAGCCCTTGTATATGATCTTTGTGTAATTGGAAGTATAAATGATAAGATAGCTTTGACATGTTCTGATATTTCACTATGATCTTGCAGTAGTGATATAAGTTTTTCTTGAAGTATGTTAGTGATTATAGCTTTAATTTCCGTAGGTGTTTATTTATTTTCATTTTGAATTTGCAGAAAGCCTTATGCATAATAGATATTTTGTAGATCATAAAGGAGATGTAGTTGGCAAAGTTAAGATTAGAGAGGTATTATGCAATAAGTATTTATTAAGCATAGTATTGATTGTTTTGCATATAGTTGCATCTGTAATTGTAATTTGATTAGTTTGTTTATATATAACTAGGGCATTATTGTATAAGTTAGTATATTTTTTTTGATATGCAAGAGTAGTATTTGGATTTCTGGTAAAGGTAGTGAAGAACCTGGTGTTGGGGTATCTAAATTTAAGAAATATTGCAAATAGAATTACAAATTTATTTGATATAGTAACAATTTTATGATTAATGAAGTTCTGAATGCCAGCTTGTATTTGAAATGCTTCAGCAATTTTCTCATATAACCAAGTTTGTTGATCAAATAAGGTATTAATTTGTTCAGTAATTCTGGCCTGTATAGTTTCTGCCTATTCTGAGTCATCAATATTATTGAACCTAGATATGTTAAATTGTTTTTAGGTAATTTGGCTGTATGTAGATCTGGTGTTATCAAGGTTATCAGATATTGTAGTTGTAGAGATTGAGAATGCTATAACTGTTGTATTGAATAGTCCTGATTCAGGTATTGTTTATATATTAAGTGGTTGGTGCTTAGGTCATTTTTTACTATGATGTTGATTGATTGTTGATTGGGTTTTGAAAGATTTGGTTGTGAGTCTGATAGTTTTGACAGAATTATGTTGTGAGACAGAAAAGCATTTGTTTCTTTTAGTATTGGTATCTTGTGTTGTCTGAGTGGTATTATGTAATGTAGTAACTAATAACTGTATTTATGTAATGTTTGCTGCAGGGTCAATAGTAAAATCGAATGTAAGCTTATCATCTTATGAAATATTACTTGTTTGTGATAGTTCATTTTCTGTATCAAGTTCTGTGATCATGTTGTATGATATAAGTAGGAGATCTTTATTAAATTTGAGTGCCTTGTATTCCTTTTGGGGTTTTTTATATAACTAAATTGTTATATTAAGGTCACAACTGTATGTATTTCTAAGATGTTTGGTGCTAATATTTATGGAGTTATTTCTTGTTGTTGTAAGGTCAAAAAGTATTGATTGAGATAGTTCTTTGTGTTTGTATAACCATTGAGTTGGAAATGTAGTAAGGTTAGATATATGACCAGATTTGGTAAAATCTACAGTAAAGAGATATTTGTTGGTGAAGCTAGGAATAAGAAAAGTAACTGTAAAGGTAAGTTTAGATAGGTCTTTTATAGAAATATTGATGAATTCTTTTGCATATTCAATAGAAGGATTAACAGTTAGAGTTGTAGCTATAGGGTTACTTGAACTAGTAGATTTTTCAATAAAATAGACTAATGGAAAAGAAAAGAAAGTGTATTGAAAGGTTGTTTGGTTTGGAGTTTATGGTAAATTGGTTTGTAGGTTATCTGTAGTTTTTTTACTATTTTTTGAACTGCCATTTTCTATCTATATGCTGGGTTAGTAAAGATGTAAAGGTCCTTAGAACCACTTTTGCTGAATTGTGAGTTGTTTGTTGCAGTGCTGTTTTCAATATTATTGTAATTCAGGACTGCTAGTAAATATTTTTTTCTGAGATTTGTACCTCTTTTAGGTCAAGTTTATTGTATAAAACAAATATAATTAATGGTTCAAGGTCGATTTACTTAGTAGTTATTGCTCTTCTTTTGTCTAATTTTGATAAAGTAATCTATAGAAAAGTTCATTTAATTTTGAAAATTATAAAATCTAGGTTTCAAATTATTGATATTATTCTAATAAATTTATTTTAAATTAATTCTTTTTATTTAATATCTTACTACAGTTTTAAATTTTTAGAAATCACATCTTCATAAGGATTACTCCATAACTCTACAACTCTTCGAAGCTGATTTGGTCTTTTAACCAATGATTTGGTTAATAATAGTATTGATGCCATAATGGCAGTGCTTTTTCTGAATACTGCCAGACAATCATGATCATGATCATTAACTCCAACCCTACTAGAAAATTTTTATTTTGATAAGTTAGAGAATTGGTCTTATTCACTACCATGTCCTTTTGTAGCAAAAGATAATTATGAAGCTGAGATTCTTAAGGACAGACTAAATCTTCTCTCAGATTACTATGAGAATGGAAATTTTTCATCAGTTTCATGCTGTGCTTATAATGTATTTGCATTATTTACAAAGGATGAAAGAAACATGTCTTCTAGACAACTATGTGAGTATTATGCAGTTAATAATATAATAATATTTTATTTAATTTTATAACTAGTGATGTGCATTTTTTAGTTCTTTTTGGCATCTGATTGGTTGGCAAAAACTTTAGCATACAGATGCACATCACTAATTAGAATTAAAAGAAAAGTTTTTAGTTGTCATGCATCATATATTGAAATAATTACAGATATGTTTTCTTGCACTAAAATGCATGACAATTAAACAACTTCTTTTAACTCTGGCTTTCTAAACTCTACCAGGGTGTTCTTTAAAAATATAGATTATGTAGTGGCAAATATGCATTTTATGTAATATAGGCAATATAGACAATACAGGATTAAATTTTTATAGCAATAGTACTTTAATCTAGTACTATTCATCTGCTGCAACTATGGCAGATGGCACTACCACATAACCTATATTTTTGAAAGCCATTTTGTAAAGTTGGTTATTTATAAACTATTTATACATGCTTTTTAATTTAATAAATTAATGATTAAAAAATATAATTATACCGATACCTTCTATATATTAATAAGAAGTTCCCAAAATGGATCAACAAACTCTTTAGAGGTAAATTGCATGCATTATTTATCTGATGCAGAAACCTTGATGACTCCAAATCTAATAGGGTAATCAAGAAGTTTCTAAAAAACTTGGTTTCAGAAATAGATAAACAAAATTTTGATGTTACAGCATCAAAATTTTGTTCTACCTTTATCAAGTGGTGACATGTTTTTTGGATGAGGGTCAACATATTGTTCAAGGATTTGTAAAGAAAAGTGAACAGGTGAAAATAGTTATTAATTATTATATATATTTTTTAATTTTATTTTATTTTATATTGTGCTTCTTTTATTACCTAGTAATGAGATTAATAAGATTTTTGCTGCAATGACAGTAAGAGATGTTCAAAAAGTGTGGCAGCAGTTCCTTATTAATATTAATATTTTTGCAATTCATGAAAAATCTACTATCACTAATAATTTTGAAAAGTTACTTTCTGATGTAGTTCATACTAGGCTATGGGTAATTAATTTTTTTTAACCAAAAAGTGCTCAAGCAATATTTTTTAACTTAAATAATGACTTGTACACTGTCAATTTAAATGTTTTAACTCTTAGTAGTTGAAATGTTGCATCATCAATTGATTTAAGTCACTACAACTTTACAACTCAAAAAGGTTTCAAAGTTATTGAATAGGTTTTTCTTGTTTTTGCTTTTTGCTTCTGTTTTTTATTTGCTTTATTTTTTTTACTTTTTTTACTTTTTTTAAATATAATTAATATATAGTTACTATATAGTGAATTAATATAATGTGTAAAAGATTTTCTCTCTATATAATTAAATATAACATCTTATAATTACTAGACTAATTATTAATAATTTACTATAATCAAAAATGTCTTTTCTGCATTTTAAGTTAGAGTTAGATTAGTAAAAAAAAATAAATAAATAATAAAATAAAAATATTAGTTACTATATAAAAATCTAAATACCTTAATGTGAGAACTGCATAGTAACTACATAGTCATGATATAGTTACTATTGAGCTTAACATTAATAGTAACTATATAGTAAACATGTAATTATTATGTAATTCTGCACATTAGTAACTATAAAGAAAACAAAATTCCATTAATATAAATTAAATAATAAGTCTTACAATATAGAATAGATGTATTGCTAATTAAACTTACCTATACTATTGTAATTATTAACTAGTTTATTTATTTATTTTGCATAACAAATTATAAGAAGGAGTGTAGCGACCTAGTGAAGTGGTTAGGTTGTCAACCCCCAAGTGGCAGGTCCAGAGTTCAAATCCTAGTATTGGCAGAAAATTTGAAAATCCTCTTTGTGTTACAGTTAACTGTCTATCACAATTGGTTGGAATAAGACACCTGTAATCTATGTCGTATCAGCATGACTGGCAGGTCATATGGCATTTGTGTAATAGTCACATGACATTGTCCTTTGGGACAGGTCTGTAGTTACACAAAGGAATGCAAACTGGTACCGGGTAGTACAAACCTACAATAAGTCCTCATGGCCATATAAATCATAGGAACCAATAGAAGAAAGATAGAAGCCACTTGGAAGACCTAAGTAGAGAGGTAATCTGAACTTTCGACAATGCTACTGTAAAGACTAGACTTATGAAACAGAGCTAGAACTTGTGAAACTGGGCAAATGTGCTGGTCTTTGAGGAGG